AGGAAATCTTAAGAGTGTAAAAATGTTGGAGTAGGTGAGAAAGGGAACGGAGAGAAAGTTAAAAAGGGGCCACAACAGTGGGCGGGCCTCCAGACGCAAAGCTTTCTGACTAAGGGCACCCGCACTAGAATGCGCTCACCCACAGCACTCACAAGCAGAGCCCGAGAGAAGCAGAGACCGCACCAGCCCCGCTCCCCGCGCCCGAGCCCTCTCCGCAGGGTTCAAGTCCCCTGACCCGAACCCCCCAGTCAGGCGCCCGCGTCTTCAGCAGTCTCGGAGACTAACCACGCTGATTCAAATGCAAGAGGCAGGACCCAGGTCGCCGAGGCGGGGGCCGCCGTGCGCGCTCCCTCACCTGCGGGGGGCGGTGGGCCCTCCGAGTCCCCCGGCGCGTCCATCCGCGGGGCGCGCTCTCCGGGGCCGCCGGTCGCGGGTCCGAGCCCCGAGACGCCACGTCCCAGAGAGGACGAGGGAAGGCCGGCGAAGCGGGCGGGACTGCTCAGCACGGCCCCGGCATCCCGCAGCCCAGCCCGCAGCTCCTCGCAGCCTCGGCGAACTTCGCGGCGCTCCGGGGGGCGGGGCGAAACCTTTCTTTTTATTTAAAGACACAGGCTATTATCATGCGCCACCACCTGGGATAGGCTGTGCTCTCTCATTCTGCGTAAGGAAAAATAAAAATAAAAATAGGAAGGACGAGTCTATATCCCATAGTTAACCCCCCTACTTTAAAATCAGTAAAATGTATTCCCACTGAAAGTAAGAAAGGATGCTTATGTGTACCTCAACTGAAAGACACAAATGTGAATTAGAAAACTAGGCTCATACCGACTCCTTTTAAGAGTGGGTTATTTTTCACAGTGGGTAAATGATGTAGTGTTGTAATCAGGGAAGCCAGACTGGAAATGAATGAACTGATGTGAACTACTGGGAGTGGAAAATAATCGCAAAAATGATAATGAACGTTGAGGAAGCGGGGTGGAGTGGCTGGGGATAAGATCTCCGGAGGCAAATGCCTGCGTTTCAATGCAGGGCACTTACTATTTGTGACTTTGGGTGGCAAGGTCAGTTTTTCCACGTGTTCGGTTGGGATTATAATGCTTATCTTGTAGGGTGGCTGTGCGCACTGGTGATAAGGAGTGTGGAGTGCTTGACACTTGAATGTGATGACTGTTACCTTACACTCACCCTCAACTTACTGGCACAAAAAGAAAGGTATCACTTTATCTTCACCTTACTTACTGTTCCAAGATAAAACAAAAGACTATTGAGTTACCACCACTATGGCTTTAAAGATGAATGAGCTCCAAGTGGCTTCTACCCTCAAATAGCATACCTCCTTCTAGGAGATAAAGCAGACCCCAATTAATAATTTATCCTAATGCAATAAATTCCATGAAATACATTGGAAGAACTGCTTACTTTAGCTAAATGAGTCCAGCATGGCTTCCTGAGGCAGTGATGTTACCTTGGGTCTTGAAGATGATGTAAAAATTCCTGGGCAGGTCAAATGAGCCTTTACAGCCATTCTAAACAGAAGGGTTAGCTCTAGTAAAGATTCCTTAAAGTGACCTTCCAGAATCTTAATGATCTAACCCTGTAAAGTTCTCCAGTTTCACTTTACTCTACCTTCTCTCTCCAACNTCCAGAATCTTAATGATCTAACCCTGTAAAGTTCTCCAGTTTCACTTTACCTTCTCTCTCCAATNTCCAACCTAACATCAAACCGTACAGGAGAATTTCATTGAATTATTTCTTTGATGTTTACATTCCCTTTTTTTGTTCTCTTGTTCTGGACTGCTTTTAATGCAGATATTGGGTCACCTAGACTGGTCCTCTTATTGATTACTCTTTTTTTTTCCTACTTTTCATCTTTTTGCTCCATCCTATAGGAAGTTTGCCCAACTTTATCATCCAAATTTTCAACTAAATTTTTCATTTCTGTTGCCATCTATTTCCCCCTATCTCCATGCCCATTTCCCTTGCTATTAGGAATCATTCTTGTATGTTTAATACAAATCTTTTTGTTTGTATATATTTTCATGAAATTTATATTCTTGTTTTGTGTCCATCTACTTTTAACTTACATAAAGGATATCGTGACATATATATTCATATTCCTATCTTTCTCCCCATTTCTAATCTCTACCTCCCTTCCTCCCTCCAGATGATGAGGGTTACAGTTGAATATATTATTGTATTAGTTTTCTGTGGCTGCTGTAACAATTTACCACAAACTTGGTAGCTTAAAACAATACAGTCCTATAGGCCAGAAGTTCAATATTAACTTTACTGAGCCCAAATCCAAAACGATGTCCTCACCTCAAGGTCTCTAACTTAACCACATTTGCACGGATCCTTTTTCCCAATAAGGTGATATTTGCAAGCTCCAGGGATTGGGATGTGAACATATCTTTGAGAGCTATCACCATCCAGCCATGATTATCTATTCACATTTTCCTATGCTCATCTAGACATAGATACACATAAGGAACGCCTTTTTTTTTTTTAACAAACTAAAATAGAATAAAATGGTCTCTGTTGAAATGCCACTTCCTCAGAGAAGTGCATCCTTTCCTCTTTATCCCAAATAAAGCCTCAGTCACTCTCTGTTCCTTCACACTTCTTTATTTTTCATCCTAGTATTTGCATCAATCAGGGGTTCCCGTTGCTGAGAAGCAACTTTTGCTAATTTAAGCAGAAAATGAATTTATCATAGAGTTAGTATTGTAGTACTTCATGTAAAACATGAGAACCTTGCAAATGCATGGGTCCACTTACCCAGTACTTCCTCCCAATCACTTACGCTTTAGTTTTTACATGCTGGTATATCTACAAGTGATATAAAGTCCATAATGAAATGTTATAATTGCTTCAAAGGTAAGTAACCTTGTTTCCAGTGTTCTTCATTCTTCCCAGAACATCTGAATTTTCTATTTGGTACCATTTCTCTTCAATATTAATAATTTTATGTAAGATTCCGTCAAGTGTAAATCTTCTGGTGATGAATTCTGTTAGTTTTTGTTTATCTCTGAATGTCTTTATTTTGTCTTCATTCCTGAGCACTCTTTTTAATAAATATAGAAATATGGGCCCTTTCAAGACATGGTTTTACTATCTTTTGGCCCCTATCATATCTCAAGAGAAATCAGTATAATTTTTATTATTCTTCTCCTGTATGTTATGTGCCTGTTGTTTTTGTTTTGTTTTTTGGGCTGCTTTTGGAATTTTCCCTTTATCTTTGATTTTCAGTAGTGCACTTACGATGTGCCTTAGTATGTGTGTGGGTTTGTATTTATACTTCTTGGCGTTCAGCGAGCTTCTTGAATCTCTAAATGTATGTGTTTCATCAAATTTTGGAAGCTTTTGGATATTATTTCTTCAAATATTTTTTCTATATCATTTTTTTCTCCTTTTGACATTCCAATTGCAATTATGTTAGAACTATATATTTAATTACATATATGTTAGACCTTTAAATTTTGTCCCAGAGATCATTGCAGCTCTACTTATTTTTTCAATTGTTTCTTTTCTCTCTGCTTCAAGTTGGATCACTTCAGATTTATCTAGCTTAAAGTGTACTCTTTCTTTTGTTATCTCTAATCTGCTGCTAGGCCCTTCAGTGAATTTTTATTTCTCATATTTTACATCTTATTTCTCAAATTTCTATTTGATCCTCTTTTATAGTTTCTATTTTTCCTATTCACTCACTGAGAATTTTTTTTAACATTCTTGAGCAACCCTGTAGATGCCTTAATTACAGGCTTCTTACCTTCAGAACCATGACACAATAAATCTCTGTTGTTTAATCCACTCAATTTGTGATCCTTTGTTATGGCAGCCCCAGCAAAATAATACATCTATACTTAGATGAGAAATCCATATTTCAACTGCTCCCTCTATTTCTGCCTAACACTGCAATATCCCCTTTCTCCACCTATGCAACTTTTCTTTCTTTCTTTTTTTTTTTTTTAGCAGAATAAGATAAAACCAGTTGTATTATCAACCAACTTAAGATGTAAAGAGATTTCCTCAAATTCTCAGTGATCTCTCTCCCACATTTGGTCAATCTTCCAAATGCCTAAAGGGTTAGAACCATGGCCTTTGAAGTCCACTGAGCTCAAATACCAGCTTTCACATTTACTGGCTATGAGACTTTGGGCAACCCTAAGTCTTGGTTTCTTTACCTGTTAAAGGGGGCTAATCCAACACTTCCACATAGAGTCTCAAAGATGACCAAGGAAGAAAATATATGACAATAATTCACATTAACTGGTGCATAGAAAGTGATAAACAAAATTATTTACTATTATTTATTGTTCCTAAAACAAACTTTAGAATTTATTTTTCATATGTATTTCAGATGCACATTTGTGCACATTATGTAAGTATTACAATCTGGTATAAGAATGACTCTAGCCATTAGCCTCTATTTAGTAGTCTTTTACCTTTGGCTATATCTAAAATTGAGAAGTGACCTTAAAAATGAACTAGGAGAATCTATACTAAAGAAGCCTCGAACCATCAGTGTTCCCTTTAACTTCCTTTCTGGGATTAGAACCCATTATATAATGGAAGGAAGGAAGGAAGGAAGGGAGGGAGGAGGGAGAGACCAGGGAGAGA